GGAGCAGTGCAGGACAATTTCCCTGCCATCCTCGCCCTCCCTCCCACAGGCCTCGTGTTTTCTTTCATTCCCAAACATATGGGCAGCCACAGACAGTGTAAATATCCAGAAGGAAATTTGTCCTACAGCTTTTCTATGCAGGCTTGTGCATATTTCATGTGGCATCTAATTGGTAAATATTTATAAGCGTTTTGAATATTTGACAGGATGGTTTATTTAACAATTTCATTTCAAATCTAGCATATAATGCTTCTGCTTTCTCCCCCCTCCCCCTCCTTTCTCTCAGCTTTGTTTTCTTTCTACAAGCGTTTTTATTTGGGGCAGTTTTCTGTTCATGTTTACAGAATTATTTCTCCATATTTTTTTTTTTCTGCTGCCTCTTCTCAAAATGCTAATCTAAGCAATGCAATATTTCTCTCCTTGATATATGTGTATGTGTGATGCAGATTAAATACAAAGAGCCAAGAGCTTGAGGAAGCATAAAAAGAGGCTCTGTGCAATGTGCCTACAGCTTTCATTTGCACAGCAAATTTCATGCTACCCAGAAACTTCAGACACATTCCTGGTCTTACTTTTTCTTATTTCACTTAACTTTTTACTCAAATTCCATCCCTCTGACCTGAAACAACTCTCTTCTGAAAAAAAAAAAAAAAATCTAGTTGGTTTTGAACAGATGTGGAGACATGACAGAGTTCATTTAGAACATAATCAACAGATAATAATAGGGTACTGAGAGAAATTGCAGTGAATGGCAAGCACCATCAGCCTTTTCAAAACAGCAAAAATTAGACATTTTTAACTCCACATGCACAACAGTGTTAGAAGAAGCAGGAAATGACTAATTTGGGATCCTTTTCTAACATTCCAGTTTTTTAAAAAATGATATTGTAACATTCTCAGGCATCATCCCGATCCTGCCCTGCTCGCTGCCTCTATTGGAAATCAAATCCTGCTCATGTGCTACTTGATGTTATTTGAAGCAGGCTGGCTCTCTTGAGTACATTAGTTGTATCCTTCATCTTCCTCCCTGAGGCCTGACAGTGCTCAGCCTGTCAGGATGGGACCCCAGCACCCCTCACGTGTGATTTGCAGTTTTCATTACTGTAAAGATCCATCTGTTTCAGCAACCTCGTAATCCTTGGACTTCTCTGATGTGGGAGCTGACTGGGGCCCTCAGGAAGGTTTGGGTTCTTGTCCTTGCCTGTGCCTGGTTTTGCAGGGCTGAGCTGCAGTTTGTGTCTCCAGCCCTGGGTCTCTTGTTGTGGTACAACTTGCAGCTTACTGCCTGTCCAGGCAGCAGATGGTTCTCCCTAAAATTATTTAGACCAGGAGGGTCATGAAGAGCCTGGTTTAGGGGTTGAACCTGGCTGGCAGGGCGGTGGGGACTGTCCCTGTGCACCCCAAGACACAGTGGGTGCCTCCCGGCAGAGCCGCAGGGTCCTCAGGGCCCTGATCTTCAAAAACCTCGGTGCAACAAGAATCTCAGAGAATCACAGAATATTCTGAGTTGGAAAGGACCCACAAGAATCACTGAGTCCAACTCCTGACCCTGCACAGGACCATTCCCAAGGGTCACACCCTGTGCCTGAGAGCACTGTCCAAATATTTCTTGAACTCTGCCAGGTGCTGTGAGCCTCTCCCAGTGCCCAAACATGGTCTGGGGGAAGAACATTTTTCTAATATCCAAACTAACCCTCCCCTGGCACAGCTCCAGGTCCTGTCACTGGAAGCATCTGGAAGTGCATCCTGGTTCTCCTTCCCCTCTTCCTCCCACGCCTCTCGAACCTTGCCCTGGGGCTGCAGCCTCCTGTCCTGCCCCAAGGTGAGCCCCACCACTGTCCCAGCACTCCTTTGTGCAGGGAATCCGGGATCTGCGATGCTTCCAAATGTGTGGAATGCAGGCAAACGTGTGACAAACACAGTGCTGGCACGCACATCAGGAGAGCTTGTAAATAAATCATCTTGGTTTCCTCGAGATTGTCACGGTATGTCACAACTTGCAGTTTAGTGTTTCATGTGCAGGTACACGGCTCCTGCTCGTGGCACCAAAAGTACACCTTCAAACCAGGATCAGGAGAAGCCTGGCTGTCAGTCCTCTGCTAAACTCGGTTTTTAGAGTAAAGATACAGCCAAAAACGTGCTAGAGGAGAGAAATGCACTGACGTGAGGGGAGTCACTGAGTGGCTGTGTTCTCACTGTCAGGCTCATCAGGATTTTCTGTGCTGACTGGGAGCATTCCAGAAGCCAGAACAAAGAAGACAAATGCCTTTTTAAAAGGGATCATCAGAAGACACAGCAGGTTCAGTGATCATTGAGACATCTTAACACATGAGCAGTCTCCTGAGAGCAGTAAGCTGCTTCTCTGCCTGGCCCCAGAATTGCTACTTTATTTTATTTTATTTTATTTTATTTTATTTTATTTTATTATTTTATTTTATTTTATTTTTATTTTATTTTATTTTATTTATTCTTTCTACAGCCTTTATATCGGGTAGATTGCATGGCTGCTTGTGTCTACTTAAAAATCAGAGTAAAAAACTTTGAATGGAGAAATCATTCATAGTCCCTCCCAATGTACAGAACCAGTAAAAACATGAGGCTTGGAGATGGGAATAAAGCTGGGCCTTGATGGATTTTGCCAGCTGGGAACCTGTCACTTAACAGTTGCTTTAGAAGCACTTTCCTAGGTGCAAACTAAACTGCTTTCCTTAAAGGAAGAGGAAAAACAATCTGAGTTAATACTTACTAGTTGCTCAGGTGATGTGGAAGTTGTGATGAAGAATTCCCTGTGCTGGTTAAGAGATAAGCTTGAGAAGTTTGCAAACAGCACACAGAGAGTGGTACTAAAGCTCAGCAGAGTTCTCCCCCACTGTGTTGTTTTTTTTTTTAATGTTAATTATGCACTTTCATTACCTGTAGCAAGTAGACATTTCATTCACAGCCTACATCTATTTTCAGATCTATCTATATTTGGTGTCCTTCACCATTCCTGTGGTTATTTTGAGGCTGACAGCCTTGTTTGGTCATCTGTTCTCTCAGGGAACAGGCAAGCTTCCTATTTATTGAAATTCATCTTGGTGTGGGGAAGATTAAAGCACAGAATTGATTTGAGAGGAGCCCTTTGAAGCCATAAAGTACAACCTGTCCCTCATTTACATTCCAGGCCTCGCTTCACCCCACATTTGGAAGCATTCACTCTACAAACCCTATCTCACAAAATGCTCAGGTACCAGATTTAGATGCAAATGATTACCATCATTTTCTGAACCATGAGAACACCTTAAATCTTACTGCACTAACTTAGCACTGCCTCTCCTTCTGCAGCAGGGCATTCACCTGGATAAGGATCTGCTGGCTCTTCTCTTATGTCTCTTTTTAATGAAGATTTCAAGTTCTTGCTGATCTCCATTAACAACACAATTAGAACATCCAGTCTGATTACTGGGGGGAAGGGGGAACCAAAGTTTCAACCCTTTTGCCAGATAAGAGGAGTTTCCCCTCGCAGAAGGTCTCAGCACTAAAGCACAGGCTATTCCCCCAGCTCTGCTCCTCAGCCCCTTCTCCTGAACACCCCAGAACTGGCATCTTCTCTTTTCTGCAGGACACCCTAATCCCAGCCTGAGGGGCTTTTGGTTCCCTGCAACTATTCCACTGTTCTGTGCCAACTGAGGCAGCTCTTCCCAGCCATCAGCAAACAGGACAGCACGGAAAGCAAAGCTGGGACACACCCACACACTAGAAACAACCTCAAACCCATGACAAAGTCATTCAACCAACTTATTTAAAAGTTCATTATCAAGAGCATCTCAGTTCTGAAGGGGAAAAACTGTCCAAAGAGGTTTAGCCACCTCTAATAACATCAGATTTTGGACTGTGCTGTTAATTATTGAATGTTTGCACAGTACTTTGAGAACTTTGTCTAACAAGGAAAACTAATATGTTGCTATGTATAAATGATAGAGTTAATAATTTCGAAAATACAGGTGCACAAAGCCAGGTTACCCTTATCATTTCATCAAAGCCAGGTTTAATTATCTTCTTTGTTTGGCTGCTGGTTTAATTAGATAAGCTGCTGAATTTAATTAACTCATCAAACCTAATTTGAAAAGGTCTCTCAAGTCAGTAAGAGCTTGTCTTATGTTTATTATTTCTACTTGTTGCATCGAGCCTTTAATATCTCCATTTTGTTATGATATTAATGGTAGCCTTAATTGTGTTCTAATTTACAACATTTACTCAGGTGCTGGCACTTTCCTTGTTTCTTAAGTGCCAACATGTGAAAATCAATCACAATTTAATTTAAGGCAGTGAAATCACTCTCCTAACCCTCTGTCAAGTCAGCCTGATGTTAACTCCTGTCCCATAAGTGTAATTTGGGGTTTGCAAGGTGAAATTATTTCATAGGAATTCACATTGAGTTTCTGAAGTACCAATTCCTGGAGAATGCTATGACAGAAAGATCCCCTGGATGCTCTTTTGGGACTGCTTAACTAAATTCTAAGGTAATAAACTTGAGGCTGAAATTGGTATTACAACTCCATAATTCATTTGAACAGATCTCTGTGTGATGCTCCAGCTTGCTGTATGAGTCTGAAACTTCTTGAAGATCACTGAAGACAGAGTTATTAGGAAAGAGCCTAAATTGAAATATTTGCTGTATATTTTAACCCCTTAACAGGACCTTTTATTTTGGTCACAGTTTTACATTCCTAGAGATTTGTGACACACAGAGGGGAGACAAGCTGATTGCTTAAAAGTGAAAATTTCCCTAGAAATGATTTCCTTGTTGTCCTGTAAAAGTTGTTCTACTGCAATGCTATGCAATCCAATCATGCTGCTGACAGAAACATTGCTAATTAAGTCTGGAGGAGTTTGTGCATATTTGGGTGAAATCAAGGGCTTTCTGACTCTTCCAGGCAGCAGTTTTGCAGAAGCAACTTCACTCACAATTAAGCAATCAATTAAACAGTGAAATGACTTGTTTTTCTGCTCTCCCTCAGAACGACTATCGGAAGTTATCTATGCAATGCAAGGACTTTGTGGTGGGGGTGCTGGACCTGTGCAGGGACACTGAGGAAGTGGAGGCCATTCTGAATGGAGATGTCAACATCCACTTGTACCCCGAGCACCACCGGCCGAGCCTGAGCAGGATTAAACTTGCCATTAAATACGAGGTCAAGAAGGTAAGTTATTCCTTTGGGGGCCTGGTGATTAAGTCTTCCCATCTGAATGATCCTTCCTTGATGTCACCTGAAAAGTCATAAATGGAAGACAGAATTCAGTAGCACCAGGACTGTCCTTAGAACTGCAGCATTTTGTGGCTTGGTTTGCATTTTGTCACATTGTTTGATACCAAGAAGCTTATTTGCAAAGCAGAAAAAAAAACCCAAATAATTCCACGAGTGTTTAAACCAACTCTTCACCCTCACAGAAATGCGCTGTGTGAATGGAAAATTTTTATTCTGGCAAATTCTAGGCCTGGGTGGTCCCAATTAATGGCTCCTACAATGTGCGCTGATGGAAACTGGGCTCCTGCTATGGAACCCGAAGAGTGTTCCAAATTTTCAAGCTCACATCTGCTCCCTCTTTCCCCTCCCTAACCCACCACCTGCTTCCTTTCACCTCTTGACTGTGCTGCTGTGTTGGCTGGAGAAGGTCTTTCCCTGTTAATGAAAGCCATTAATTAAAGAGAATCTTAAAACTCCTGTTTGAAATTAAACGCTGTCACGCAGGAGCACATGGTACGGAACCAATTATTTTCTCCAAGGATGTTGTGTCTCTGCGCTGTTCCATCATCAAAACTGAGCAGAACATCTTAGCTTGTTCTTAGTTTACAAGCTGGGTCATGTTTAGTTGTTGAAAGTGTTGCTTTGGTAACAGGAGCCAGCCTTGCTCTGGTGCTCTTCAGAAAATGAGCTGATCTAAAAGGCACAAATAGAACCTCACCAAGGGCCAGTCCCCAGGGATCCTCGGGAATCACCAGGACTTCGGTCAGAGCATCAAAGCTTTTCAGTGTGTGAAATCTGCTCTGCTATTCTGCTCATTTATTCCCCCTAAATATTTGTGTCATCCCTTACACACCCAGAACACGAGCTGGAGTTGCTGCTCTGAGCACATCCATCCATCCATCCTGGCTCAGCTGCTTTCAGGGGCACACTCCCCCATTTCTTACCCTGTATTCACGTGCACCTTTTTTGGAATGCATCAACACTGGCCTAAAGCATCCTTGGGAGGTCATGCACCCTTGATCTTTGTATGTATAAACATCTTCCTGTACTCAGGAAAGCTGAGCATCCTTTTCTGGATCACAGCAACTTGTTGCTCATGGATAATAAACATTAAACTAATTCTAACAATTAGAATTAGAACACAAACGTGTGCATTCATTCATGTCGACTCTCGGGTCAGCACTTCTCAGCACGCTCTTTTCAGCACAATATATGTAAGATGAGTCTTTAACTGCTGGCTCTAAGACAGTTTTATTTGTGGGAGGCAGGGACACGTTCAGACAAATGGCTTTGGTTATTGGCAGTGACGTGATAACAGACTGATGTTTATCACCCTCGCTGAACAAAGACCTTGTGTTATGGTAACACAGCAGTGATTTCCTTAAGGGGCAAAGCACTTCAGCTGCAGCTTTTTTATTCAGATCAGAGGTACTTTTTCGGTTTGTATTTACAAATCCTGGGCTTTGAAATCCGTGATCATCTCAAGAAAATCCTGTGATAGAGAGGGGTGAGAAGGAGGGTGTTGTGTTATACATATTTAATAAACCAATTCTTGGACAGATCCTCTTGATATCTTCTGACCTCCTGTACTCAGCGAACCTGCAACTGGCACCTACAACAGGGTTTTGTCCCTGCCCTAAATGATCCTTCTCTGCATCTTTTTCACTTTGTTCTCCCCATTAGAGCTCCCTGTTACCTCATCCATTTGTTGCTTCAAAAAAAGCAAGTTCTCCGTTCACCCAAAAGGACACACTTTTACTGATCATTGTCCTTTTTCCTGATTTACAAAGTTTGAGATGAATCTTGTAAAGTCATTCAGGAAAGCATCAAAGGTGAGAGGCTTCACTTGTCTGTCTCTTTGCTCCTTTTGTTTCTTTTTTTTTTCTGCAAAGCACATAGGAGATGTTGGTGAGAAGTTTAAGGCTCTAATATAATTGAAGGACATTATAGAAAGAATTAAGAAACTCTGCTTTTTGCATATTTTGCAGCTAAAATTACGGTAGTTTACAAATTGTTCTTAAAAAATGCTGGATTATTGTTAATTCTCTACAGTTTTTTGAAAACCTAAATAATCACTCTGTACCTCAGGATTCTTGGAAAAAATTCACTCAAATGTCCTCTGTTGAAGTTTTCCAGAGGCATTTTAGATAAGCTATCTTAGTGATTCATGATTCCTCGACAAGTATTTAAATAGGGACAAGTTTGCCAAGAGCAAAACAAACAATTTTCAAAAATTCAAGCATTTACTGAGTCCTGAATTCTTTTAGCCCAAGTTATGGGACTGTTGCAACTTGACCATTGTCCTCCCTGATGTCCTTTAGTGATGCTTTGCACTTGCATTCTCCAGTCAGGAGTGAGTTAGGTTGGAGTGTTTTTGGTGGATTACAACCAAAAGGGGTTTGAGTTGCTGAGCTGGAGTTGAGGTCAAGGATCACGAGCTCTGTGATTCCCTGAGCTGCTCCTTATGCAGGCTGATGAGACCTGGAAGTTTACTCTGTGTTCTTGACTGAAAATGTTGTAATAATGTGGGCAGAGCACCTTTCTCTTTCACGAGTTTTAATTCAATTAACAGTAAGACACATAAATTGGGTTGGGGGAAAAAAAAAAAAAAAAGAAAAGAAAAAAGAAAAGAATTAAACAGAACACCAGATGGCTGTGTAAATCCTATTTAACAGAGAGCTGGAACAGGAACTTTTCTCCTAACTATATTATTAATAATTAACATATGGAGGATGCTCTGAACAGAATACTCATGGCTGCATTAGATTATAATTTTTCACTGCACTGGCCACAAAACTCAGACACTGAAGGGCATAAAAAGTCCCAGGACTCATCAACTGCTACAGCAACCTGTGCTCCCCACTCACTGACCCAGAGGAGGGGGTTTTTCCCTGGACAAGAAATGCCTTCCAGGGTCTCTCTCACCATGAAATGGGGCCACGTTGGAAGCTGTTGATGGCTTGGACAGTGGTGATGGGAAGAAAAGTGTCCCTCATTTCCATCCTGGAGAGCCAGTTGGTGCTGTACAAATGTAAATTAATATCCAAGGGAACAGTGGAAACACTCTGGTCGTTCTGGACTCCTCAGCTTATCCACGTAATTTTTCTTTTTACATTTTTAGTTGCATATTACAGGTGTTTTGTCAGAGGTTGGAAAGGGAAAGAGTCACTTCCCGTCCTCAGAGAAAACATTTCTATATCTCTGAGTATTTCATCAGCAAGGTTCCTTCCTCCCACTACCATCTCTGACTCTGATTATTTCCTCTTGCCCAGATGTTTTAATTTTTTTCCTTTTCCGTGACGAACCTCATTTTGTTATTTCCTGCCCATACATCCATCCTCTTAAGGCTTAAATGAATCATTTCTCCCCCCTGGATGGTGTTTGCAGTATTCCCAGTTTAATGTAATATGCAGATTTAATTATTTTCGTCTGCAAAGTGCCACAGGCTCTTAGATGTCCATCAGGATATTGACAATTCAACAAAGGAACACATCAAACTCATTGCATGGATCTACAGCCATTTTCTCTTAGACAAAAAACCCAACCATAAAAATTCAGTATTTCAAGTTCTTGAGGGTGTTTTCCCAAGTGGTGTTCAGATTTGGATGTCTACATGGATACTGTCCCAGGGGGAGGCTTTTCTTCTCATCACCCTGCATTTGAGCACATTTTTGGGACTTTATACCTGATGAAAAGAGGAGCCTTATCCTGTGAGTGAGTCTGCCTCTCCTTCAGCTCTGCTGGGAGTGGAACCATCCACACCAGAGACATCTGAGCTCGAGAACAGCCCAGATTCTTCACCATGTAGCCAAGGGGAAACAGTTCCTGGCTCTCCTAGGAGGGGAATAGCCTATGGAATTTTAAATTTCTCCTCCTGTGCCCACTGTGGTTGTTTTTTCAGATACCAAGGGGACGTTGTTGTTCGGTAGTTTTTTATTGTGCCGTGTTTTCAGATGAATAATTCAATAATAAGGGTTTTCAAGAGGGTTTGATTTTTGCACAGATATGAAAATCCTGGAATGTTAAAGGCTGGGACTTGCAATTCAGCTGCTTGTTTTCAGATAAATAATTCAGGGATAAGATTTATTCATGTATGTAAAAAGAGGAGGAATCAGACATTGACAGTAAATCTCTTCAGAAAACATGCAGCCAAGTGGAATTTGAAAGTGAAGTTTCCCAAAGAGCCAAGCACCTTATTCATGACCCTACAGAACAATTCTGAGCACAAAAAAAGAGCCCCATCCTGGTCTCAGAAGTCAAATTATAAAGTAACTTCAGGCAGAACAAGGTTTAAACTGAACCAATGAAAGAACTTGTGTAAGTTCTACATTTTCCAGTTACACACCTCAAATATATCAGACTTACATTTTCATTTCATATGATGTAAAATTAAGAGAAAGACAACAAAAGTCTCCATTCCTTCAACTGCTAGGAGAATTATTAATTTTGCCTTTTCACTCAGCACTGAAGAGCATTTGTGTCAATGGGTAAATTACATTTGCAATGGCCTTGGCAATTTTATTTACCCCTTTATTTTTATTTTCTGTTAGACTTACTTTTTTATCTTGGGTTTTATTTTGTGCCTGTTTCCATCCCAAAGGGATCATTCTGGGATCATTTTCCCAAGTCACAGGTCAGAGATGTGATTGCAAACTGTAGCTGTGCTAAGGTTTTAAGTGTTCACAATCAGAATTTTGTACAGGATAACTCAGGTCAACCAGCAAGCAGACACAGATATGGGATTTATGAAACTGGGGAATGTGTGAGTATCCTGGGATTTGGTGCAAGTATTTACCCACTGCCAAATGGCTCTAATAAGAGAGATATTTTGGCTCAGAAGGAAACCTGTGAAAGGTTTTATGGAAGGTGTAACTTATTACTAAAGCCATACTAAATACTGATGTGTTTATGCCTAAAAAGTAACTCAGAGACTGAAGCTGCACAACCAGCTGGGG